CACCCCATCACCCCATCACCACATCACCACACCACCACACCACCCCATCACCCCATCACCACATCACCACATCACCACATCACCCCATCACCCCATCACCACATCACCCCATCACCACATCACTCCATCACCACATCACGACATCACTCCATCACCACATCACCACTTCACCCCATCACCACATCACCACATCACCCCATCACCACACCTCTACATCACCCCATCACCCCCACACCACCACATCACCACACCACCACACCACCACATCATCACATCACCACATCACCCCACATCACCACATCACCCCATCACCCTCACACCACCACACCACCACATCACCACACCACCACACCATCACATCATCACATCACCACATCACCACATCACCACACCACCACATCCTCACATCACTCCATCACCACATCACCCCATCACCCCATCACCCCATCACCCCATCACCCCATCACCACATCACCACATCACCCCATCACCACATCACCACATCACCACATCACCACATCACTCCATCACCCCAACACCCCATCACCACATCACCACATCACCACACCACCACATCACCACATCACCCCATCACCCCATCACCACATCACCACATCACTCCATCACCACATCACCACATCACCCCATCAACTCATCACCACACCACCCCATCACCCCATCACCACATCACCCATCACCACATCACCACATCACCCCATCAACACATCAACAGATCAACACATCACCCCATCACCACATCACCACATCACTCCATCACCACATCAACACATCACCACATCACCCCATCAACTCATCACCACATCACCCCATCACACCATCACCACATCACCCATCACCACATCACCACATCACCCCATCAACACATCACCACACCTCCACATCACCCCATCACCCCCACACCACCACATCACCACATCACCACATCACCACATCACCACATCACCACATCACCACATCTCCTTGACACGACACCACCCCATCAACTCATCACCACATCACCACATCACCCCATCACCACATCACCACGACATCACCCCCATCACCACATCACCACATCACCACATCACCCATCACCACATCACCCCCACATCATCACATCATCACATCATCACATCACCACATCACCCCATCACCCCATCACCACCTCAGCCCATGAACACATGAACACATCACCCCCAATGTCCCACTAGCTCACCACACCACATCACCCCCAATGTCCCACTAGCTCACCACACCACATCACCCCCAATGTCCCACTAGCTCACCCCACCACATCACCCCCAATGTCCCACTAGCTCACCCCACCACATCACCCCCAATGTCCCACTAGCTCACCCCGCCACACCACCCCCAATGTCCCACTAATTAAGGACAACTCCCTGGCTGGGAAGCAGGAGATGGTCAGGGAAACCTAATGTTGCTCAAAAACAAACAGCACGACGCCGCTGTAGGTTCCCAAGTCTAGCCTGGCGCCGCATGCGATCATTACAGGTGGATCCTTTCCAAGGCCCAGATAGTTCTGCTCCGATCCGACTTCAAAAACGGAACGTTCCTTTCGACACAATTTAGGTCATGTAGGAAGCGGCACCGGTTTTACAAGACACAAGACACAAGACACAAGACACAAGACACAAGACACAAGACACAAGACACAAG